CCCCCCCTGCCTTGCGATGATTGGTCCACCTCCGTGTGGTTTGCTTGGTCCTAACATATATTTACTTATTTTTAACAATTATTTGGATTGTTGTTGTCGGAGGCTGTTGGCTCACGTTAGTTGCGCTTCTTCTCTGACCAACGCGACACCATGACCACAATTTTCTCTCTCTCTCGCCACTATTTCATGGTAGAGTCGACTGCCTTGTCGTAGGTTAAGCGATCGGGTGTATCCGAAGGACGCCCCGTTACCGGAGGTAGTCAGAATCGTCTGAACAACTTGGCTCGAATATCTTCGCTCGCACCACCCTTGGTAACGTCCGTTTTTGATCATGTGTGATGTGTAGTTTTTCTCCCCGTGCGTGGTAACCGGGTGTTTGACTTGTGGTGTGTGGACTTTGGTCAATGGTAAGTCACATGTTAGAAGGTAATAAGCCCCTCCTTGGGGATGGAGTCCTGACATGGATCAATTTCCAGTGTTGGCAAGTCTTGAAGCATTGTCCGCTCGGCTGTGTTCTGCAAATGTCTCTTCGCACAGTTCAGACGGCCCAGGGAGGCAGTCATTTACGACCTCAATGCGTCTTGATACACATATTTTTGTCCTGAAGCTCGTTCTGTTCTACAGCATGCAACATCTCCTGCCCATAGCACCACTTAATTTCCCCGCGACTGTTGTCGTTTATATCTTAAGATGTTCCCAAAAAAACAATATTAACATTCCTCTTTCTCTTTCTCCCTCCTCTCTCTCTCTGAAATCAAACTACATATTTACGACCCGTCCCTCCAGGTCTGCCGCCAGTCGTTCATGTCCGTGTCCAACGACGCCATGCTCACAGACCACGTGACGGCCAAGCATAACAAGAAGAAGACCCCGGCAGAGTGCTTTCCGGGTCGGCTGAGCTGATCTATCATTCGTCGTGTTCTTTTTTCCTCGCGTAACATCCCCCGCCGGACGAGAACGCACGGGACAAGAAGGACCACCTTTCTTCCAGGATGGGGGGAAGGAGTTCACCATCCCGCACAAGGACATGCGGGGAAACGATGGTTTGAGTTCACCATTCCGCACGAGGGCATGGCTGGAGTTCACCACTCCGCACAAAGGGCTTTGTGGCTTTTTTGGTGACTTTGGTGTTAATTTCGGGGAGAAGTCTTTGCGGGGATGAAAAAAATGCTTGATATGTTTTCCGGCGGCATCCTTTTTTTTTGTGTGTGTTTTGTAGAGGTCAGGCCCGTGGAGCAGACACAAGGGCGGCTGAGCCTGACTTCGGAGCGCAGCGGTTGTGTGGGCAGGTGTTTTTGTTGGGTGAGTGAGAGGTTCGGACGGATTTCTCGATTGTAGGAGAAAGGAAAGCTCCCTTTTGGAGGAAGATTAGTTGGGGGGTTGCGCCTGGTGGTGACAAGTGCTTGCGGTGGAGTAAGCATGTGCAAGATTGGATTGAGGAAACGGCCCTGAGAAAACGTGGAGAGTGTCCGGATTGGTTGCTTCCATTTCCGGGGTACATTCTTTCATTACCGCGTGCTGGAGGAGTTGAAGTTCGTGCCGCACTGGCCGTGGCCGCTTTGTCCTTGGCGGGAAAGGCCAACACCCATCGCAAGCATCGCTGCGATGCCACCCTCACCCCCATTCCCCGGGGCGAGTGCGTAAATTGTAAGGCTTCCTCAATAGATGCTACCTTGAAAGCTTTCGATAGGTGACGAGTTCGAGAGATAGGCCCAGCGCGATGCTGTGTCTGCAGGACCTGCCTAAAACACTTTTTTCTTTGGGGTCGGGCACGTTCCGCCGGCATCGCCGTCTGGTCTCCTGTGTTGGCCCGTGTAGCGCTAGCGTGGGGACTCCTTTGACGGCTTCTTGTGAATATTTTATTGCAGAAACATAACGGCAGCATCTGGGCCAGGTTAGAGCCCAAAACTGGCCACTGGAGAGCAAGTTTGAAGGGCCGTTCCACCGCAAAATGCGAACACAGGGATGTTTCCTTGCAAGTAGAAGGTGAAATCAAACGAAGTTCTGTGCTAGCCGAATCGGTTTCTGTTGTTGGGTATAATGGTGGGAGCGCCACTCTCTTGATTTTACCCAAACCGGTCGATCATGTTCGACGACCGCAGGCTGTTGATTTTTTCCCAAGCCTATGCTGCGCGAACGGCAGAAATGACTGCGCGTGTTGTTTGTGTTTGTTGTGTTGGGAGTTCTCAGCCAGCAAATTTCCAAGCTCGATAGAGCTTGCGCCGCTGCTGTCGGCCGTTAGTTTTTTTTTTCTGTCTGTGTCATTTTTGTTCGCCCAGCATCCCCTCGACCGATCGGGTATCAAAAGCCGACCTCAGCCCACACTGCCAACCTCGGAGAACTACCAGCAGCTCTGTGCAGCTGAGACGATTTCAAGACCCCTCACTGCTGTTGTTTGAGCAGCTATCGATTGCTGTGTGGCCAGAACCACTTTTCTCCGTTGCCAACTTGGATCTGCGTTGAAATCAGATCGACCAGGTTTACCTGTGTTCGAGGGTCCTCTGTCTTTTCGCTCGTCGCGACACGCCAAGCCTGCTTGCTGTCCACGCTTATCTCGGGAAATCACACAACTGCAGAGACACTCCGTTTAGCCGACATGGCTTGACTACATGCCCTACATGGCCTCGCTATATGTCCTTGTTGTTTGGGCAGCCAGCGTTTGCCTTCCAGGAGCGAGGACCGGACGTTTCACAGCACCGACGAGCGGGTTGTTGTTGTTTTTTGCAAATCATCCTCGACAAAGTACTGGCCCGGCGCACCGAGTGTCGGCGCGCCGCCAACGTTTCATTCACATCCGGGAGACACCCTGAAACCACATGCACGAAACACAGCAGCTGCCCGTAGGCATACGTCGTCGCCACGGGCGCGCGCCATAATGATGGTTTGCCGCCGGCACGATTTCTCCGCCAACCAATCAGCGCAAAACACGTTGTGTCGAACTACAGCATCTACATGGTTACAGCAGTAAAACTACGCCCGCCGTGTAAAGGAATCGAGGCCATGTGTTGATTGAGAAACGCAAAGGCAACAAGTTAATTCACGAGAAGAAGTCGTCATCGCCACCGCTTTCAGCGCTCTCCTGCTCGAAAGATATGTCCTCGCCGACGCTGCTGACCTCCCCGTCTATCTCTGCTTCGGAGACCTCCTCGTCCGATCCCCCAAAGTAGCCTCCGACGTCAAGACCCCCAACGGGCGCGGCAAGTGTAACATTTGTTGCTGTGCCCCCGCCTCTCTTGCCACCGAGGCCTTCCAGCAAGGCCCGCCCAGCGTCCTCCTCTTCCTGGCCCTGGTGTTGCTTCGGGCTACCGGGTGGTGACAACGTGCTGTTGTCGCCGCCACCGCCGCCATCGCCGCCACCGCCGCCGACATCGTCTCCGAGCCCCAGTAGGGCTCTAAGCGCGGCCTCTTCGTCGTCCTTGGTCTCCTCCTGCTTTTTGACGGCTCCGGCGGTCGAGAACCGACCAGAGCCATCATTCTCGCCATCCCTGTCGTCATCTCCTTCGCCCGCGGGAGCGTGAGTTGGAGCACCCACGCTGGATACCGAGCCCTCCTTCGTGGCGGAGGAAGTTGCCGCCGCCGATACGGATATTTTTTTCCCGGATGACGATGGCGACGGGGGAGTGCTTGTCCTACTCGACAAACATCCGGCCTCCATTGTCCCCCCAGTGGCACTCTCACCGTCGCCGCCTTCGTCTGCTTTTCTCTCAACATCCTTGCGCTCTTGTCCTGGTGCGCTGCTCGCCTTTAGCCCTCCCGGTAGCACCAGGGAGGGGAGACCCCTTCCCCCAACCGGGGGCAAGGCCCCGAGGAGACCGAGTCTCTGCCGGGCACCGCCCATCGGTGGCGGCGGGAGCCCCGCCAGGGAAGACAGCGACGCCAAGCCGCGAGGCGACGCGAGAGGCGAGGATAGAGGCGACAAGGAGCCCCCTTCGTTCGACGCTGACGGTAGTGGGAGGGACGGCGGTGGAGGCGCTCCCGGGGGCTTGGCAGCACCCATCTCCCCGGGTTCCCGTTCGGTGGTCTTCGAGGCAGAGACTACGTCGTCTTCGCTGCTTGAGGTTTGGTCCCCCTGCCGACGTTCCTCAACGATGAGGTGATCGTTCTCCGAATACCCTGGCGTTGTAGTCCTACCGGCAGAAGCTTCCGTTTGTCTCTTGAACAGAGACTCGTTGAAGGCGCTGCGGGTGTTCTGGCCGGGGGGGGTATCGTCCACGGAGTCACCGTCGTCGTCGAAATCTTTGGCCACGTTCTTTGCGTCGGTGGAGACCACGGCATCATCACTAGCGTCGCCCGTTTTCATCCCTCCCGGTGCGGTCGCAGTGTCTCCGACGGATGCAACTGCGGCGATGGCCGGATCAGCAGTGTCTCCGGTGTCGTCCGCTCGCTCGTTGTCCTCCGAGTTGCTCTTCGTTCGGTTGATGAGTCCGTTCCCGCTCTCCTCCCCGATGCGGATATCCACTCCATTGCTGCCGCCTGCTCCTTCTTCGAAGTCCTCGATTTCGATACCGTCCACAAGCTCCTCTTCTATCTCGGGAATATCCTCCTCTTTCTCCTTCGCCTCGTTTTGTTCTCTGCCGCTCCCCCCGGGACCGGGCTCTACCAGCAAGCTTTTTTGGTCGTTGTTCTCCTCGAGGGATGTCGCGGTGGCGGCGGTGGTGGTGGCAACGTGAGAGCCTTCGCTCGTGTGCGGGGACGAACGACCCTCGACGTTATCCTCGCTAACTCGGTGTTTGTCCTCACGTTCGTGGTCGGCGTAGTCGTGGATAACGTAGTGCCCTTCCTCTTGATCTCCACGTGGCTCAACGAGCTTGGTGTCGGTCTCACCGGGGATCATTTCTTTTTCTTTTTTCGAGCCCCCAACCCGAGAGACGACTTGAACATCGACCCCTCTCTCGTCGCTGTCTTTGTTCAGCTCTCGTTCTACTCTCCTTTGGTCGTCGTTACCGTATCGCGGAGACAAACCGTCCTCGTCCCGCTTCTCCTCGTCTTCGCGAACTCGATCGGTCGCTGCCTCCTCGACCGAAGAACCAGTAGCAGCAGCGGCGGCGGCAGTGTTCCCAACCATCCCCGCTGATACCTGCTCGTCCCCTCCACCAAGTTCGCCGCTTGTTACTTGCTGCTTCACGGCGGCGATATCAACATCATGCTTCCCTTCCTCGCTCCCTATTCCGTGAAAACTGCCCCCTCGCGCACTCAGGGGCGCGTAGCTCGTTGCGATTCCACCGTCTTCCGAAAGGTCGCGAGTTACACGCGGCACTTCCGGGGTGGGGGCTGGGGTCGGCCCGGTTGACAGGCGGCCGGAGTTGTCAGAGTCGAAGTCCTCGGATTTCTGCAAAAGCAAAGGCTGCTTAAGATGCCCGTGCTTTTGGGGCGTCGATGAAGCGGGCTGGTATTGGGGCTCGTTGACGACCATCTGTTCAGGTGTGATGGGGTATTCTCCAGGTAGGTGGGCCCGACCCTCAGAGAGCAGGCGCGAGACTAAACGCTTCAACTGCATGCGAGAAGAGACGGCCCCCGTGCGCGGGGGGGGTGGATGGGGGTTGGTTCAGGCCATCGTCGTTCTCATGGTTGAAGAATATTCTCTCGATAACGCAAGAGTGCGTGGAGGCTTACTGTAGCACGTACTCATTGTAACGGTTCATCCTTATTCGAGAGTAACAAAAGCAGTGTCTCATTTTCCCTCCCTTGATTTTTTTGGCATGTGTGCTTCATAGCGCAAACTTTTGCGGTAAAAATCTGTGGCCGCACTCTAAACATCGACAGCAGCAAAGAAGTACAGTCCGCAATAAAACACACACCATGGCGATAAAACACTATGATTGCATATCCTTGCACCCCCTCACGAAAAAATGATGAGGGGAATGTTCGTCGATTTCTGTCCACGCCAAACTCGACTTCATGAGTGTCTGCAGAACAAAAAGTTTGTGAACTCCATGTTGTGAGTGGTGGCATAGACTATCTGAGGCATACCTGGTTCACTGACACCATGTCCGGGCCAAGGTGGCGAGGGTGTTTCTTTTGAAGGGCATCCACTACGCCTGACACATCAAATGTCTCGGGCGATAGCTGCTCGATTTGCACCTCCACAATTGCGATGCCTGGGAAAGGGGCGAAAAGAGCAAGTAGGTACAGCATGACGCGTTTATGCTCCCGGTACCATGCCCTTCTAAAGAGAATCAGTGCCAAGAGAACGCCCTTGGTCGGACTTTCTCTACGCGGTGACAATGTAATAATCATACCCGCGGCTGCAATGAGCACACAGCAGCAGCTGTGTCGAAGGTGAACATCTACAGTACATACATTTCGCATCTGGAATCCAAACAAGGTTGCCACAACCATGATACTGTACGAGAAATATCCAATGTAATACATGCCGTGCTCTCCGGTGCGCGAGTACGTACTATACATATCCAACACCCATCCGGTGGATCCATCGAAGCTCGCTTCATGTATTTTGGATCGCAACATTCCGAGATGAAACCTTCTCCCTCACCGGCATCAGGCTTTTGATACTCAAGGGCAATCGCTGGCTTCGGGGAGTACTTGAGGCCGAAGCGCTTGGGCACGATCTGCCCGGTCATGTTTTCTCTAGATCTCACACCACAGTGGGTGTGGGTTGTGTTGTGTGCGGCGCTTGATCTGGTGGCGGAGACTGGAGGAGATACAGCAGTAGTATCGCACAAAAATGCGGTGGAATCGACGCCGATTCGGTGATGATGTACCGCAGTAGACTTCAGACTTCAGACTTCAGCAGACAGTAGTAGGCGGATGACGGATGACGCATGACTTTTCCGCAAGAGAATTCGCGCGCAGAGCAAAGGTTGGCTTTCATTTCAAACGGATTTCATGCCCCGTCCAAGTCACACACGGACCAAGGGTTGGGGCCTTCTACTATTGGATAAAGGCTGACCATTTGACTACGTGCAGAGTCATCGATGACTGTGCACGTAGTCAAATGGTCAGCCTTTATCAAATATCTACCTCAAGTGACCCACAGCACGCCACTTGCACACAGAGCGAACGAACGGACGGAACGGGTGCGGTTGGTGAACCGAGGAAGAAGATAAGTACTCTATGGCGAGAAGACACCGTTCCGAAACAACAACGGCACTGCCATTGTTGTAGCACAGCTGGGCATTGAAACGCCGAGCCCTGTTGCAGCAGTTTGTGGGTGCGCGAGATGGGGAATGAATTATTGACAAAGTAGGTTTTTTATGGACGCGGGGTTCCATGCATACAGCAGTGACATCATGTCTGCCCGCATGCGAGAGACCTTTACGAGCCAGTAAACGGAGTCCGACGGCAAGACTGAGGCGTGAAGAGAGCATTGCTTTCGTCAGAAGCGGTTCAATTTCATGATCCGGGTCCCATACAACGGTACTCCCACCCCAAGCACGTTTGACAAGGTGTGCACCCCGCGCCCAAGATCGTCACACCCCACATTCCGTCCATTCCCACATTCGACCCGATCTCTTCACCTTCAACGCTGATCATCCTCCGTCGGGCAAGCCACCCTTCTTGCTCGAGTTTGCTCCAACGCCATCGTCATGCCGCAGCAACGCTCTTGGGCCGTTGCGGTAGGAATTATGGCAGGCGGCTTGGCTGCCGTGTTCATCACTCCTGCGGTAGACGCTCATATCTACATCGTCGAAAGCCGGCAGCAAGTATGGACTATTGACCGTACCTACAGCATAGTTGTCGCGAGACCCCTCTCTGTGTAGTGCTTCGATCCTTCGTGACACGCGTAAGCCATGCGCCGCCTCCGCGTCCATGTGTCCATAACGGTATTGTACATCCGGGAGAATATATTCTCCTACGTCGTTCCGTAGTTCTCTTCAAATTAAAGCTCTGCTCACGCGCCCCAAACCCGCCGTGCTGTTCTGTCTGTCGCGTGCTCTGGCCCTCCGTTCCAGATACTACATGTCTGCGGTCTATCACGAAGAGTAAGTGGCGTTGTTGTTTGACGTCGTTGACTCACGTTTCTTTGGCATATAACCTCCCCTCTTTTCTAACTTCAGTAAATTGTTTTGATTGCCTACTTCTCCTGTGTGGTTGTATGCGTAAGCCCAACGGTCTACCCCAGGACGCCCATACAACGCGCTTTGTTTTCAACGTCAACCACCGATTCGGTACATACTGCTGTGCGACCTCTATAAAGAGAGTGGAAATGCGAGCTTTCTAGTCAAACCGGAAACGTTTCGTACTCAGCAAGACTGACAGATTCGAGTTTGGCGCTTTGAGTCAGCCAATGTATGTAGGTTACTCCGTATTTGCGTCGCGTCCCTGATGTGCTACTGTAGATGCGAAATGTAAAATATCGCAACCAAAAAAGAGATGGTGGTAAATGTGCACCATACCAACGGTGTTATGCGTGAGTTCATCGTCTAGGGCGAAGAACGCTTTTTGAAATAGGTTCATTGAACACGCTTGGGACAATCTTCGTCCTGACCGCGAAAGCAACATCTCTGGGAAGCTCCCTAACTGCTCCCCCATCCAGTCAAACTCTTACTGAATCCCGTATGAATGGTTTAACGAGGTTTGTCGGCGAAACTCCGGCTCAAACCTCAGTTGCCTGCACAAACGGGGCAGCGTTTGAAGAGTCTTCAGCAAAGTGTTGATTTTCACATGGCGCCGGCCTCCGGCGTGTTTCGTGCCATCACGAGCGTGCACATGCCGGGGCTGTTCCTCCCTGCGAAAGGGGCGAGTCATGTTTGTGTCCGTTTTCCAATTCAAACGGTTATTTCCACAGCTGCAGCTGCCGCTGCAAACGTGCGTAATCAAAGTAAACGGACCGAACGCACTATAAATGCGTTCTTAATCCTGATGAAGCGCATGCTCCGTTGTGACCAGATGGTGTTTATGGTGGCTGTCAAGGCTGGCAGCAGTTGGCGCTAGAGCCTGTCACAAGAGCAGGGCGACAGTGAACAAGACCTTTTAGTTTCAACCCCTCGATGCATGTATCGTTGCACACGTCGTAACACCATCTACCCGTTCAATTCTCTGAACACGAACTATTGAACGATCACGTCGCTTCCCTCAATTGCACCGCCCGATACCCCGCCTCTATCACTCGTAGGAGGACGTGTGGCCCGGCCAACACAGACAGTTTATACCAACTGCCGCTTGACAGTTGCCGATGTTGCTGTCCAAGTACTGAACACATTCTTACCTCGTCGCACCCCTCCATCCCGCCGTTATAAACCACACCGTCGTGTATTGTTCCCTGCACATGGGCGGCGTCCTCCGTCACGAACCACGAACAGCAACTTCCCTCAGCTCGAGAAAAATGCCGGGGCCTACAACGCGGGAGGGTAGGTGGAAGTCCAGGACCGCGCCCGCAGGCTCACCGACCCTGCCATCCTGGCCGAGTACGGCGACGGATGGTACACCCAGACGATAAAGGTGGCGCGGCGTGTGGCCTGGCTTGGTTGCCTTTTTGTTATGCCGACGTTGTTGTTGCAAACGCGCATACACGCGTGCGTTCTCTCACTTTGTTTGTGGTGTTCGCGATCACCCTCTTCTGCCAGCACAAGGTAGCCGTCATCTACCACCGCGGTATCAACACTTGATGGATGGCGTGGCATGCTACCAACCGGGGGCAACGATTCGTATGCACGGCGGCAGCGCACCCCCCCCCTGCTCGTTCGTCTTTGTCTTTTAGTCTCTTGAACACCACAAATATATTTTCGGTTGGCGTGAATAACGAGTCTAGAATGACTTGGATTCGAGACATTTTTCGACATCTCGCTACCCCCGTACAGGCGGTGCCATGTTGTACGCCGTAGTCCGAGATGAAACAAATGCATAGTTGGGTCTCTTGTTGCCCACACCCGCGTATTGGACTGTCAAGTGCAAAGTGTGATTCGACCCGAGAACTTGAATGGCGCGGTGAGTGAATGTGCCCCTCCCCCCGTCACTCCTGTACGTACCCCCAAACTCATTTCTTTACTCAAGTGAGATGGCTCCCAACGGGAACTACATCGAGCCTCAGGGAATCTCCGTCCGGCACGGGGTGTGCGGCGACCCGAAATCGGTACGTTTCTCACGACCACCTACTTGAACCTAAACGCAATCTCACGACCACCTACTCATATCCTAAGCGCACGTCGTTGTGACCCACTCTCTGTTCTCACTGCTGTAGTTCATGCTCTGCCCTGGTTGTCATCACAAAGTGTGTGGTCTTCACGCTAGTGTTCCCACGAGTTCGCCAATTCATGCTGTACCTGTACCAATGCTGTGCCAGGTACCATATTCGAAGAGGTAACCTCGTAGAAGCACACGTGTGGTAAGTTTTGACGTTTCGCTGGGGGGGCTGTTGAACAGCTCTTCTGGTGCCAGTCCAATCATCAGCGGTCGTGGTGCCCCCATCGGCCAAGGGAGGGACGCGTATTGCACAAGAAAAACCTCCAGCAACACCGCTGTACTGCTGCTATGCTGCTGACGTGTTGTATTATGGACTTGTCATCTTCCACATTGGTGCTACCGATGGCGAACACT